TCGCAGAACAAAGTGAAGTTGGGTAACTCGGCTAACTTCGCTTCTTCCAGCAGCTCGCGAAGGTAGAGTCCTTCCTTGGTGGCTGAGCAGAGGGCGATATATTCTGCTTCAGCTGAAGAGAGAGCAATTAGTTCCTACTTGCTCGATTGCCAGGAGATAGGTCCGATAGGTTCGAGGCGGTAGATGTAGCCAGTGCGGGAGCGCCTGTTATCTGAGTCGCTGGCGTGATCAGCATCGACGTAGCCAATTAGTTTCGTCGGCGTAGTTGTGTTTTTGTAGTACGTCAGGCCGATCGTTGCGGTGCTCACGAAATAGTGAAGAGCGCGGTCGAGATCGGCCAGGTGTTCTGTTTCGGGCCTCTTGAGATAGGTAGCAAGTTCACATGCGGAGTAGGACAGATCTGGGCGGCAGGTGACGGCTGCGAAGAGGAGGCAGCCCAGTTTTCGCTGGTAGTCGCGTATTCCGGCGCTTTTGAGTAAGGCGGAGCTTCCCTTGCCGTTCCCTGCCGTGTAGTGGTATGGCGTGGAGATAGTAGCAGGTGTGAGCGCGAAGCGTTTGGCGATGGTGTCGGCATACTTTTCGGCGCTGAGGTAGATCGCGTTTTCTTCTTCGCGGATGTTGAGTCCGAGATACTGAGTGATGGTAGTGGAGACCGTGAGTGTGAGGTCCCTCTTCAGCTCCCCTTCGAACCAGGTAGTTATGTCGTCGGTAGAACCGATGTAGAGTAAATCGTCGACGTAGACAATAAGCAGAATGTAGTTGGCGTCTTTGGTGAGTCGGTACATGCCTTGGTCGTGAGGCAGTTGACGGAATCCGATGCGGGTGAGGCGGGTGTGTAGGTGCTGTTGCCACAGCCGTGGGGCCTGTTTGATTCCGTAGAGCGATTTCAGTAGCTGGCAAACCTGATTAGGTTCCCCGTGGGTACCATGTGGGAGCTCGACGAAGATTTCGGCGTCGACGGGTGCGTAGAGGAAGGCGTTAGCGACGTCGATTTGCCGTAGTTTTCTTTTCTTCATGGCGGCGATCGCGAGGAGGATTTGGAGTGAAGTGTGTCGGCTAACCGGGGCAAATGTCTCGGTGAAGTCCCGTCCGTGTTCCTGATCGAATCCACGCACGACCCAGCGTGCTTTGAACTTCTCGATTGTGCCGTCTGCCTTCGTTTTGATGCGAAAGACCCATTTTCCGGTGAGGATGGTCTTGTTTCTTGCCACGCTAGCTGGAACGACTTTCCAGGTGTTCCGTTCCTCCAAAGCCTTTAATTCTCTGTCCACGGCTTCACGCCATTTCTCCCTGTGTTCCCCCCCCAGAGCCTGCTGAACCGTCGCAGGCTCTTTAGGAAGAGGATGGCCGTGGACTGCGGTGACGAGACCGAGAATCTGCAGTCCAGTTTGTGAGTAGCGGGGGAGTGTTGCGTGTCAAAGTTTGAAGGAAGAAAGAGGATTGAACTAGCAAGAATGAGGATACAAATAGCAAACCCTAGAAGGGTTGTACTCGCTACAGAGCACCCCACTACAGGCTAGAACAATAAGATAATATTCTGACACACCCCCATAGCCAAAGTGGGGTGTAATCAGCAGAGTAGGCAAAGCAAAACAAGCTCAGGGTGGATCACAATGTCACCACACATTCTGAGCACAAGTTCAAGAAGAAATAGTTTAGAGTTTACAATTATAAGCAAAGCTAGTGGTAGTCACAACGGGCAAGTGAGGAGGAGGAGGGAGAGTGAGGGGAGAGGAGACAGGAGGCGACGGCTGAAGCTGCAGACACACGGGCAACAGGAGGCAGACTGGCACAGCGGCTACCGGACAGCGCCCGGACTACAGGGGTAACAGGCCCCGCGGCTCAAATAGCGGCGGACGGGCAACGGACCCACGGGCGGCTGGCACAGCTGGCTACGACTGGGCTACCGGGACAGCGCCCCGGACTACAGGTGCTGTCGACGACAAACTGGCAACCTCCGCTCATCCTCCCGCACACAGTCCCACCCCCCTGATACACACCCACTGCTACACCACTAGCTCTACTCCCACGCACCCCCCTAAAACCCTAAACCCCAGTCTCCCACACAACCACCCCCCTCAGCGACAGCTGCAGCAGTGGGAGACGAAGGAGGAGGAGGAGAAAGGGAGGAAGGCACACCGGCCACCCCCATACTCGCCACCCCACAGCTCGCCCCTCCCGTCGTCCGTCGTGGCGACCTGAGGGGGCCGCTTGCGGCCCCCGAAGGAGCCGCGACGGGCGACGGGAAATGGGGGAAGGGGAGAAGGGGGGGGGGGCCCACCACGGACCTGAGGGGAGGGCGGGGCCGCGACAAGGGGCGGGGCCGCGACGAGCGGGGCGGGGCCGCGACGGTCGGGGTGGGACCGCGACGTAGGGTGGGGCCGCGACAGGTCGGGGCCGCGAAGGTAGGGCGGGGCCGCATAGGGTCCGGGGCGGGGCCGCGACGTAGGGCGGGGCCGCTTCGAGGGGCGGGGCCGCGACGCAGGGGCGGGGCCGCGACGAGGGGCGGGGCCGCGACGGTCGGGGCGGGGCCGCGACGGAGGGGCGGGACCGCGACAGGTAGGGCGGGGCCAAGCCGGGCAGGCGCACGGGCGGCGACGGGCCGGGGCGGGGCCGCGACGAAGGGCGGGGCCGAGCCGGGCAGGCGCACGGGCGGCGACGGGCCGGGGCGGGGCCGCGACGTAGAGGAGAAGCCCGCCGCGCGCCCCGGGGCGCACAGCGGGCAATGAACCGCCGCGCGCCTCGGGGCGCACGGCGGGCAGAAAACCGCCGCGCGCCTCGGGGCGCACGGCGGGATGAAAAAGTAGCAGCGGAAGCAAGGTGGGGACACACCCACAGGATCGATCCAAGGGGATCGACCTGCTCTGATAGCATGTCAAAGTTTGAAGGAAGAAAGAGGATTGAACTAGCAAGAATGAGGATACAAATAGCAAACCCTAGAAGGGTTGTACTCGCTATAGAGCACCCCACTACAGGCTAGAACAATAAGATAATATTCTGACATTGCGTCCTCGGGATAAGCTGCTTCATCTCCCGCTTGTGGGTCGGGTATGAAATTCGGTCCTACTCTTTCTGCTTTGTTGGTGTTGACTGTCGCAGGTGTTACGTAACCATTGTCAGCGAAGTGATAGAAGACTTCGGCGTTGGCGCTTTCGCGAGGATTTTCTTCGTCCATGGGGACGTTGACGGAGCAGAATGGGAGAGGTCCGGCTTCTTCTGATGCGTTGTCGACGTTCTGCTCGTCCCAGTCTGCTTCGTCCGCTGCTGAGGCGAAGGCTCGGTCACCACGAAAGCCACCTGTGGGGTCCTGATTTTCG